TTTTTTTTTTCAAACTCAGAATAGAATATTTGGAACCCGGTTTTGGCATCAGATTATTTATCGAAAGAAGAGGTTTCCCTTTACAAAATAGTTCTTATCCGACGTTTTCATAGGTGTCAGAAATGATAGAAACGAAAATTAAAGTTTTAAAAAATATTGACTGGTTTTTTGGAATGCAAACATTTCAAAATTACCACGTTGCTACACATATGATAATCGGATATGCTGGTTACAAAATTTATGTAATTTAAGTAGGGCCTTACTATAAAAATTCGATAGCGATAAGTTACTGTCAAAATCACGGATTTATCTGAAAGATATCCTTAAAGATTTTTTGATATTGCTGAGCTCAAAGGTCATACCGCCTTTGTACAATAAGCAGGTATACATGGGAAATTAAAATCATCAAGCTGTCTGAGTAGGAAAAATTTACTTTGCGTCAACATCGCCATCGGCCCTATCGTGGGCAATGGATGTGAATTCATGCTCAAGTAAACCCCTGCGGTCCAATTTTGAGGCAGATCGTTATTTTTTACTTTGAAGCGTATACCTACGTAATCCTACAATGAGATCATATCGTGAGGAACGAATATGGTTTTCGAAATGAACATAGCCAATTGCATTACTGGCTAACGGTTTGTCCAAATTATCAACTAAGCTTTCTTCGGATCTCCAAAACAGTCTCTGTCACTTTCAATTGAACAGAACTGAAATCGTTGGGCATGCCATGTATATTTCTTTGCAGAAGGAAACTTTTTTTCAAATAATATGCGATGCTTTGCTAAAACTTTCGATCTTTTAGAAATATTAAAGTTTGTAACTTATCTGTCATTGCCAACCCACTTGAAACTTAAGTTGAACTCACTTAGTTATACTCTTCTACAACTGGTCAACATTTTTCAGAAAGAAATTTCATCAAAGCTCGGCGCAGTTGAGCGGGAAGGTTGTATCAAGGAAAAAGAGTTGCAAGAATTTAAGTGTCGGTTGAAAGCTCTGGAAGCACTTTTCGAGGGACATGAGGAAAAGAAGAATTGGAATTTTGAGCGCTGGGAGTTAGCTCTTGCGGGTAAGGTATAACGATGGTTGCTCGTTTGTATCTGAACTCGCAGAAAATATTATTTTTGGGGATATTATTTAAAAAGCTTTTTTTATATATTGGAACGAACGAAACTCAACTCTCTACCATTAAAATATTAAGTTACTGTTTCCCAATAACTAAATCCAAAGCAATTACTCCACAACCTTCGCAGAAGTTTGAAAAAACTAGTTGTTGTACTCTTCAGCATTATGCTTGCTTTTAAGAACAGACCGAGCTGAAAGCTTATTTGGAGTCCGAATTAAGAAAAAACGAGGAGAATTTATCAGCAACTGAAGTGCTGGGAAACAAAGACGAAGTGAGTTGGCCTGAAATTTGGTTCTTCTTTTTCATAATTAAGAAAGATGAAGATTGGAACAAAACCCATTTGCAAAAACAGTAGTTGGAGTCGTGACTTACGCTTTATCTGATCTCTCATTATTCATATTTTCAGAGTGACGATGTAGCGGAAGGGATTCTAGCTCTAGAGCAGGACTTGTTAACATACATAAATGACTACAATGAGGAGCGAAGAAAGATACAAGAACAAAAATCAGAGTTGCTTCCCAGATTGAATGCTGTAAACTTTTCGCCCTATCAAGCACTTAGATGTTTTTATTGCTACTCTTCGAAACCAAGATTTAAATAATTCATTTTCAAGAAATACCAATTTTTCCTTCGTGGGAAGTGGCTTCCTATTTTTCGTTGAATTAACTCTCATCATTTACAAAGAAAAAGAGAGATAAAACTGTCTGGTTTCAGGCTCAGAACAAGGTTATGAACCTTAACTCCAGTAACGCGGAAAAAGAAAATGAACACCAAAGACTACTTTGCGATGTGAAAAATTTGCAAGCACAAATTGATGCCTTTTCGAATCTTCACACACCTGCAAAACCAGCTACAATGTTTGGAGTAAAGTCGCGAAGAACGATGTCGAGTGGCCGGCATGCTTCCCGCGGGAACGAGGAAGTGGACAGTGAAAATAGTAAACTTCACTTCAGATCCCGATACACTATCATCTTAATTTATTCACATCTTCAGGTTCCTCTCCTTCTGGTGTTCCTTATGTGGAGGGCTTGCAACCCTTCTCACCAGCAACTCTTTCCGTCAAGGAACAAGCAAAGAGCAAGTCGAAGAGAACAGCGAAATGCGAAACTATCGGCAATGTACGCCTTTCTCGCCTGTATCTCTACTATTACAAAGCAGCTTTAGGCAAGATAGAGTATTGCAGTTCATTCAAACAGATATTCTCCCAAATAAGTCTGTGCAGCTTTCTTTCAAAACTTACCAAATATCAAAGCTGGGGCGTAGAAGATTTGCTCAGCTTCTCAATCGTTTGTTCTTAGGAAACCAAACGGATCTAGCTAAAAATAAGGCTAGATCTATCTTTCTTGCTAGAAAATTCCCACTGTTTAATAGAACCTTACCATAGAATATTGTAAGAAATAAGAAACGGTGGAGAGGTTAACATTACGAAGCTAAAGCGTCTAGTGGGGTTAGTTGAAACCCTAGTCACATCATGTTGTCCTTCCCCTTACAATGAGAGCGTAGGGATGCGGAACAAAACCACAGTTAAAATTAATGTAGATAGACTCCAGTGATTTTACCTGTGGTTTTGACGTCTCTTTGGTTGTCTCGCTAATCATATAACAAGATTCGAGTCAAGCAGTAGCCTAAACAAAGAAGGCCTGCATTATATTCCAAAATTATAAAAAAACATACAAAAGTTATGAACTCGAAACTCCGCATTTTTGATTACATGTGCGTAGAATTTGTGTCTATACCTTTAACAAAGTGCTTACCCAAGCACTCATCGTGGATCAATCATCAAACTAACAGACAGTTGAATTTCTTTTTTGTTGTTATGAAGACTAAGTTTAAAATGAAACTTCTAATTATCTTTTTTTGTGGTGTTATAGCATACCATACCGACAGCCGGAAAATATTGCGCCAGCACAGCTTCCCATAATACTACTGGCGTATGGCATCAGTAGTTCTAATGCAAATTAGATGCTATAAAAGACTTATACAATCAGAGAACAATGGACAGTGCTATGAAGAATGTCCAATACGTCTGCAGCCTCAAGGAACAAACTACTTTGTTCAATCTGTCGTTCGTGGTTGATTTTATTTCCAAGAAACAAATAATTCAGCCTTTTTTTGCTCAATTAAAAAGCATCGTAATCAGAAGCAAATCAAAAATCA